GTGGAAAAATACATTTTTTTTTCCAACAGGCTTTATATGAACGCTTGTCAATGGTATGGTTAAGAAGAGAACCGAATATTTTCCCAACATTAAGCTCACCAATGCCTACTTTCTTAAATCAACTTCAGGTGAGAAATATTTATTAAGTAACTATTATGTATCAGGCCCTGTGCTTGAGCTGTAAATACAGTGTGCTTATGGAAAGTCTCTGTCTTTAAAGAATTCACAGTAAAATGGAGAGAGAGATTGAAAAAATAATTACAAATACAGGTATAAACAGAAGTACAAAGTAAAAGGAACGAGTTGTGCCTACAAGGGAAGAGGTCAGAGGAGATTATGTTTTGGCAGAATCTTGAAAGACGACCTGGACAGGTCGGCAGGTGGGTGCAGGGCACTCTGTACACTCGCCATGGTACAGAAGCGGGCCAGACAGAACAGTTGTGGAGAAGCACAGGACGTTTGGCAGAGCTGGAACATGGGCTTCACGTGCGTGAGTATGGATAAAACCTGGGGAGTAGATAAGGGTCTGGCAGGTGTAATCAAGAAATGTGAACGGCATCCTGGCAAGAGGTCATTAAAGAATTTTTCAGAGGAGTGACAGGTCCAGATTTCCATTTAAAAATAATTACTCTGGTGGCTGCGCGGAGGAGGAATTGGACAGGGTAGAAGACAGAAAAGGGGATGAGTAGGCAGTAGCATATTGCAAATCTGGTGAGAGATTATAAAGGTCTGTACCAAAACAGTAGTTTTGGAGAAGATGAGGGAGAAAATGTAAAGGATACTTAAAGGCCAAATTGAGGTGCTTAGACCTTTGATTGAATATGGGAACTGGAGAAGAGAAATGAAGTTTCTGGCTGGGCCGACTGGTGCTACCAACAAATTTGACAGAGGATGTAAGAAAAGGACAGAGTTTAAAGAGGGGAGTAGGGTGATGAGTTCCCTCACATTGTATTCATGCCCCGAGGGAGGTCTGGAGCCCATGTGGAAGTGGCAGTGGGAGATCTCCCAGAGCAAAGTGAGACGTCTTTAACCACTGGAACAGTTATGGGTCCCTGTTTATATTAGGCCTTCTTTCAGTGCTTTGTAAACTCTCAATTAAAGAACGAAAAAATTTTCAGGCACATAAAGACTTCGTTTTATTTCAAACATACTCTGAAAACAAACTGTGCTGTTTGTTTTCTCCACTGTGTAGATGTGTTAAACTGCTCATACTTGTAGACAACAATTTGCAGGAGGATAGAAGAACATATAATGTTGTACTGCTCAATTTCATTTTGTTCTTGTAAAAAATTTATATTTTCATTAAAATTCATTTTTATCATCACTAAACAAGTAAGAACTCAAGCCAAGTGATTTTCAATGATACTTCATAGAACTATAGAACATAGAGGAATTTTAATAGCACAGTGTATTATTCCAGGGTTCTGAAACTGAGTGTCACAAGTTTCCACTGCTGATGGTTTTCTACAGGAGATAGAAGAAACAAAAAGTGCTTATAAACTTGCCAATCTATATATTCTTACAACAAAATGATTCTTTTTGCTGATGGCTATCCAAATTTTATCTCCAGTGCCGGCCAGTGGCTAAAGGTCCAGTCCTATAATAACAACTCCAGATTACACATGTTTAAAAAT